TCTGCCCCAGGCTTCCTGGAATCAGCCGCTGATCAGTTTCAGCAGCGGCTGAATCTGGACGCCAGTTCCGACTTACATACAGATTCAACTTAAGAACAAACCTACAGTCCCTATCTTGTACGTAACCCGGGGACTACCTGTAAATAGAAAGGTGGAAAGCATTACTATTTCCCAAATGGATGGATGGATGGCCATTAACATTTATTTACACACTTCATTATGATATATATATATATATATATATGCTAGTTGAAGATTAGTAGTTACACAGTTTTACAACCTTGGTGTGTCTATATCATTTTCTAAAAATGTCACCGGCTTCTCCACTATCTTCCAAGAATAAGAATGTCCATCTCAGTCTCAATATTTTCTGGTTGCAAGTTTGGAAATCCCAGGAATTCATAAAGATCTCTTCAAAAAAATTGCAAACACATGGCTGAACCCTTTTCATCCATTTATCAGTGTTTTCACTTCTCATAATGTTGCTTGTTACTTAAAAATAGTTTCCATTTTCCCAAATAATTTCACATAGTGTCTTCAGAGCTACTGTCATCACCAAGATCCTGTGATTCTCTGATTGGAAGGACTTCAAAGTTTTCTAACCCAGTGCCTTGTACTTATGGCAGGACTAAGTATTATTTCTAAACCATACCTGACAGGTTTGTCTGACCTGCTTTTAAAAAATCTCCAGTGGACATTTCATAACTCATCAGACAACTTATTTAAGTGCTTAAGAACCCTTACAGGAAGTAATCCTAATTCCAACCTAAATTCCTGTTGCTGCAATTTAAGACCATTGCATCTTGTCCTATCCTCAGATTAAGGAGAACAATTTTACTCCCTCCTTGTAACACTTTTATGTGCTTGAAAAACTGTTATCATACCCCTCGTCAGTCTTCTCTTCTCCACACTAAAACTACATTTTTAAAATCTTCCTTTAGAAGTCATGTTTTTTAGACCTTTCATGATTTTTTGTTGCCTGTCTCTGGACTTTTTCTAGTTTGTCCACATCTTTCCTAAAATGTGGTGCCCAGAACTAGACCTAATACTCCAGTTGAGGCCTAATCATCACGGAGTAGAGCAGAAGAATTGCTTCTTGTGTCTTGTTTAAACACTCCTGCTACTATAGCCCAGAATTATGTTTGCTCTGTGCTTTTTGCAACAGTGTTACACGGACTCATATTTAGCTAGTGATCCACTATGATTCCCCACATGTTTCTTCAGTACCCCTCTCTTGGTCAATATGTTCCTTCCTAACTGGAATACTTTGCATCTGTGCTTTGTTGAATTTCGTTTTATTTATCTCCGATCATTTCTCCAGTTCACTCAGATAATGTAGAATTATTATCCCATCCTCCATAGCACTTGCAACCCCTTCCATCTTGGTATCATCCACATGCTTTATAAGTGTACTCTCTATGGTGGTGTTTAAATTGTTGATGAAAATACTGAACAGAGCTGGATTCAGAACTGATCTCTGTGGAACCCCACTCATGCCTTTCCTGCATAATTGTGAACCATTGGTAACTACACTCTGGGAATGGTTATCCAACCAGTTTTCTACCCACCTTATAGTAGCTCTGTTTAGGTTGTATTTCCCTACTTTTTGTTTGAGGTTATGTGAGACAGTATCAGAAGCCTTTCTAAAATATATATCACATCTACTGATCTTATTGCTCTGCTCTCCAGCTTGCTACGTTGTGGAAGAAAGCTGTTAGGTTGGTTCGACAGGATTTGTTGTTGACAATTCACCTTAATATTCTAGTTGTTTGCAAACGGATTCCTTGGCTTAATTACTTGCTAGGTTATCTTTCAAGTTCTTAAGTTGAGCTGACTGGTCTGTATTTTCCTGGGTTGCCCTCATTAGGGTTGCCAGCTATCCAGTATTCGCCTAGACAGTCAGGTATTTGTGTCCCCTGTCCAGTTTAAAAAAACAAAAACAAAAACAAAAACAAAAAAAAACGGAAAATACTGTGCATGTAAAATGTCTGGTATTTTCATCAGCCGGAAGGCCAGCAGGGACATTCTTCTCCTGGCGGGGGGAGTGGGGAGCGTGGCACTTAACTTTGGTCTCCTTTTCATTTTTTACTTTTTTCTTCCCCCCCCCCCCCCACACC